CTGATTCATTTTAAGGATGATTACTTGTTGACTGGGTCTACCCTCTATGTCCATGGCTGACGATTCCATTATGCAATCCCCTGACTGAAGCCAAGTGCAGGATTAATGCAGCTCATTCATCAACCAGGGTTATCATAGAGCAGAGGTAGGCCTTAGGAACATGAGTTTCCAATGTTTGGATTAGTCTAGTATACTCCAGACAAAGTGCATGGTTTAATCTTAGCATGCTGTGTTCTGTGCAACTGGAGCAGGCATTGAGGGGATATGGTTGATGCCAAAGACCTGGAAGTGAGGCAGAAGTCTTCTGAAGAGGAAGATAAGGAAGAATATCACAATCAGTATGACAAAATGCTGCAGCCTCAGGCACAACAAGACAGACAAGTCTTGACTGACGCCTGGTTCCATTAGATGTGAGCTGGGTGCAGTGATCATTCTCTATTTAAATTTGTTGTTGTTCAAAAGGCATGTGATCATTATTTTTTTCCAGAAACAAATGCAGCTCATTTTTCTTTCATTTCTCTTCACTTTTGCTGTTTTTCAATGATAGTTAATGTTTTCAACCGTTTGAAACTTTTCAGCATGTGCTGTTTCCTTATTGAACAACAAGAAGATGTTCTGTTAGACTGGACATTAGGGTGAGAGTAGCACTTAGATAGGGTTCTAACATGATATGGTGCTCAGAATGGATATCTGTGCAATTTGATTATTTAAACTGCATGCACAGTGACAGTTCTTCTGGTGTTGTAAAATATCAATACATTTAGGAACGAGTTTATGTTTGCAGTGAAGCATCACCTGTGCCTCATACGTGCTCTCAAAAGATTTTCTTTTTCATTTCCCTCCCCGTATGTGTACTGTAAAGGTCTATTCAGGAAGGTTAATGCTTGACCTCGTGTACAACTGGGCTTTAAAATGGCTCCAGAATGGAAAATCATGGAGGATCCTGGCAATGGCAAGACTGCTGCTGTGGTTTGGCACACAATATCTCGTGTGAGGAGGCATAGTGACATATTGCATGCATAATAAGGGGACCAGTGTAAAACTGAGTGAGAGATCTTCCTAGGGCTCACACAGGGAAATCCTCTTGATATTATCACTCAGTCATTTTTTGGTAAAATCCAGCCCATGGTCACCTTCACTGATATTAGCTTTTTTAAAAAAGCTATCAAGATTTATTTCATTATGTGAATTTAAATTCCTCAGCTGCTGTGATAGGATTCTGGAGTACTGGTTTTATTGTCGAGGATAAGTCTCTAGATTATTCATTCAGCAATGCAGCTTCAGGCAATAAAACAAAAATTCTTATTATTGGGACAAACATATTAGTTGTGATATTACTCTAAGCAGTGATATTACTTCTGTAGTGAATATCTTCATTGTCTCTAAGTAATTCTTCTTATACTTTTAATACGTTCATTTAACAAATGATTTCGTTTAGTAACATTTCTAATAAATAAGGAATTATAGCCTTATGAAATTTCTACATTATTTTAAACACATTGGTTATATACTTAATTTATGGCCCTTTCACATATTTTTTATCATTCCCAACTTTTAATGCCATTGATTTCAATGCATGTACCTAAGCAGAAGTAAAACTTGTCGACCTGCGTTATAAACTGTGAGAGTTGGCGCTCTCCCAGTGCTCTGCAAGTTTATTCAGTTAGTTGCTAACCATATAGACCAGGAACATTTCACTTTTTCAATCCCTGATCAATGTTAAATTAGCTGATCTCAGCCAGAGCAGTTTAAGCATACAATTGGCTTCAAAATTGGATCCTGATTGATATCTCTTAACCTCTGGAATGGGCTTAGCTTGGATAACCTCAATGATAAATTAAATTGTTGACTATCTCTTCATCAAATTAAGTAAAAGATTGGGCTCCTTGGTTTCCCTTTAAATTTCCAAGGCCCATGCAAGCCCATTACTACAGATGTCTAAACGAAACAGGCAGACTTGCATTTGAAAACCAGAGTCCTACACCATGGGAGATTTTCAGCTATAAATAGGAGGAGCCTGCACCATGTATTTTCCACCATTTAAATCGGGAGGAGACTGACTTAATCAGCATTAAAGGAATTGGTAGCAGCAATGCAAAAAAAAAAAAAATTATTCTGTCATTTTGGAGGAGTGAGAGAAGGGAATGCTCCTCTCAGAATACCGTGGTCCTCTGCTGTGGCACCTCTCCTATCTTTTAACAGTGACTTCTGATTTTTAGCCATGCCTATGTGTGGTAGGTTGCCTGTTGCTGTAATGGAACACTGTGGCTTACTTGATTTATGCTTTAGGCCCAAATCTTTCAATCTTTCTAACATTGGATGGAAGATAAAAATAAAGCTCAATGCTTTATTCCAAGGGTTATGAGTCAAGGAGTCCACTGAGAAATTGCATAGGATGAACTGCATACTCAGATAGGTTACTGTATATTCTCAATCATTTAGGAATCAGAGGATTGAAAGTTCTTTTTATTTGGGTTACATGTCATTATATAGGTCTGTAGCTGGTAGTGATATGTGGCCCTTTTGCTGTCAGTTATAATGGCAGAAATAGCATGGTAAGTTCAGCTCCAACTGAGGAATACATTAATGATTCTGCAATGCAGTGTATTTTGTGTGCTGCATTGGGACACTGCAGACATTCAGAAGGAGTAATCCTGTGCTGACCTTGTGACATTCTAAATCAATTGAGGGTGAATAAATATTCAACTCTGAGTATTTTGCTCCCATGGTGAATCTTTGTCAAATTTTAGCCTGAACTCCAGCCTGTTCAAATTTAATACATTTACACATTCAATTCAGTTTTGTGCAGTGCATAATTGCTTTGAATTTCAATTTCAATAAATAGTTTCCTGCACAAACTGAATTAAGAGCCAAATTTGAAGTGTTTGTAAAAATTATGAACATCGTTTACAAATATTGCTTACATGTTGAGATCACCCTCACTCAAATCACAAGTGGGAGCTAAGAACTGTTTTGTCAGTCTGATGCAGTACTAAATCCCAGGAGATATTCTTGCTAAGGCACTCTTAATGCTGAGGTAACTGTTTGAGTACAACCATAAAATTATAAAATAATGGAACATGAATAATGAAAATATTCTTTAACAAGTTTAGATACTGTACTTAAAGTACTGAACCAGTTTTACGTTTCACCTTCACTCATTTTCAGGAGCGAAATCAATAGGAACATAGAGTGAATTCCTATTAACACCTTCCTCCTCCCTCACACAGGAGATGAGAAAAGGTTTGGCATTTTATCATCAACTCTATTGCTTTCAGCCTTCAACATTTTGTTTTTCTCTACTTAATCAGTATTGCTACAGCTGGTATTCCCCTGAAATGCTGTTCTTAATTTTCCTAGGTTACAAATGCAGTTTGACTACAGCTAGAGTGCGAGATCACTCTGATGGAATGAAAAGTCATCACACTTCCTGCTTCTTCAAAGCATTTTCTCACTGCACCCATCCTCCCATCATCCTTAGAACACATCCTGAAAATCTTGATTTTGTATGATATTTTGTACCATCTACAATCTGCCAAATTTTTAATACTCAAGCATCAGCATTACTCATTATCATCAATGACTTTCCTCATTTTTCCTGCTGTTCCTCAAGTCTTGCTGTATAGGTGGCTCTTAACTCGCTGGTGCCTTAAGAGAAACAAAACTTTCAGCATGCATTTAATCTGTTACTCTCATAGGCTTTGTTCTATTCCATTTCTATGAAATAATGTAAACTATCTGCATAGTTTTTCTTGGTTATTTCAATGATTTATTTCCAAAATATTAGGTACATATGTTATGAAAAAGGCTTCAATATTTCAAACTAGAGTTTCATGGAATGTCTCGCCTAAACTCAGTGGGAAACAGCAGCCCACAAGGTTGGGTGAACAGTATAGAGTTAGACAACAGGTGAGTTATCAGATATCTGGTGCAACATCTTCCAATACTCCAGAAGTAATTGGGAGACAGTTTGAGGACATACATAATCTGGGCTTTTTCTGGCTTCACTCCTCTTTCCACTACATTGGTCACTATTGTTTCCCTTCAGAGACCTCTAGTTAAAATGGTACTAAGATACTAAATGTTCTTGGAACCCCATCTGCATATTTGAAACAAAATTCTCTTGGATTTTGGCAGGTGTTCTTCTGGCCTCCCCAAAAAGGCAAGTTAAAGCCAGGATTAGGACAGACCAAGACCCAGAGGCAATATAATTTTCTGCTCATCTATTTTCCATCTGGCAGTCACCATTATTATCTCCCAACTCTTAGTCAATGATCAATTATCTCCATGATCCCACAATCCCATGACTGTTGACTTCATACTACTTTTCTATAACATGGATGATCAGATGTCTTACTTAAAAAACAAGCACATTGAAAAAGAATCAGAGATAGTAGGAACTGCAGATGCTGGAGAATCCAAACAAGGTGCAGGGCTGGATGAACACAGCAGGCCAAGCAGCATCATAGGAGCAGAAAGGCTGACGTTTCGGGTTCTGATGAAGGGTCTAGGCCCGAAACGTCAGCCT